CATTACAATAAAATCCAGTTTAGGATATGTTTTTGACAAAGATTGTAGTTGCTGCGAAGTCTTGGGGTGGGGTGGAGGGGGGCCGCTAGAGAGGAGGAAGTCCGAAACTACAAAGTTAAGTACAGTAAAGTTGGTAGCAGAAAAGAGAAGAGCAATGTGGATGAGGAATGGTGGCGGGGAGGGAGCAGAGGAGGGAAGTTGAAACTAAAAGTTTGTGTTACCAAAGTTTAAAGGAGGGTAAAAAAAAAAAAACTGCTCTAACTCTAAAACTCTCAAAATGAAATGTTGCTTAGTACCACTTCGACGTCTAAACTACCCTCACCCCTATTCCATACAACTACAGATAAAACAAACTTTCTTTACCCTTGGGAAAATATTAAATAACACCGCACGGCCTCTTGTGTCAATCAGTAATAATACGCCCAAGCCTATAGAATTTCGCGGGAGCATTTGAAGACCTAAAAGAACTCGAATATGAAAGCACATAAATCGGACAAATGAGATACAAGCGTTAAATTACAGTAAAGTTCTTCTCACGTGGAGGCTTACTAACGCGTATTTCAAAGTCTCAAAGCTTCACGGAGTACAATAACGATACAAAAGGCATTCTTAACCTCAGCACTAGATGGAGGTAAGTGACCAGCTTCACGCTCTCGATGCTTTACCCCCCCGAGGGAAGACTTCCTTCGACAGGAAATTCGGCGTGTCCCAGATCCAGTCTCGACATGGTGACGACGACGACGTTCAGGTCGTAAGCAGTTCGGCACACTGATAGCAGGCCTGCCAATTATGTCTCCGGACACACTTTCAAGAGGTGGAACGAGCAAGCAAGACGGTGTACCAACAAAAAAGAGTGGAAACTTTTATTAACTCCGGAGTAGTACAAAGAATTCCGGACACTGCATTCATCATTGGTCGCAACGTTCCTTTTCACACAGCCACAAATTCTATGGTCAACACAGATCACCAACAGGAAAATCCATAGCGACACAAAACATGAGAGAATTAAAGTTTTCACAGTGATAGAATCTGTGGTCTTCTGGACTATGACAGTCGTGTAGATGTGTCTCGTAGGAAACTCTTTCATCTTCAGGGTATAAGATTTCTCTGAAACTATGGTAACCACCAACAAGACTACATGGCGTCACAACGCACAAGACCACAATTCAAATCAACTTAAATGAGGCCTTTATTTTATGGTTAAAACAAATTTACGGATCTTATGAAATATTTCAGCCATGTGTCACTTCTTCTCTGCAAAGAACTGTCTTTCATAAAAATTTTAAGTTCCGTTAGAGTTTCATGCAGTGCACAATACAAATTGCAGCTACTCGTATGGATCCAAATTAAATTCGCTCACGCTTTGGTCTCCAATTCCGTCCATAACTGTTAAGAGGATTGCGGAATGAAGCTTTCTTCAGTCGCTCTGACATATCTCAATCACTGAGGTGAACATCTAAAAATCCTATGACTGTTACTGTGATTTCCAGTCTCTTTCCATACACGTTAAAGTAACACAGTTTTTTAAACCTGAGCTGCATACACGAAGGCGTACTGAAAGTGGAAGTAAATCTCCTCGCAGATTTAACTTCAGAATTAGATCAAACAGTCGTCAGCTTCACATGACTAGAGCATATTATCCGGTGCAGATCCCCCCGGGGACCCATTTCGTAGGAGGTCCAATACCAAAGCTAACGCGAAGACCAAAAAAAAGCCCTCAACACCGGCCCCTGGCCAGTCACTTATTAAGAATCTCTTTCCGATACTCTTCGCAGTGGCCACGACTACAGCCGAACGTCTCCGTATTCACCCAATCCCACTGTGAGGCCGACAGTGCGGAAGGGACGAGGTCAAAACGCA